ATCTGGGAGAAATTTTGGCTTTCGATATTACATGGGACCATTTAGACTACAGAGCAGATCTTTATCTGCCTGTCCTGGGACATCCATCATCTCTTTGGAACACTGCCTCCAGCACAAGCTGAGCCTTCCCGGAGTGCCACAGCCACTAGAGAGCAACTCATGTGCTCCCAATGCAGAACGTAGCAGCAGGAAGGAAGGCACAAGTGCATACCTCATTCTGCAAGAAGCAGCTGCAGTCATATGTAGAGTTCCTGCCACACTCTACTCTCGCCTGCCTTTTAACTTGATTTTGTATTGCTGTCCACCCTTGTTGGCATCGTTCAGCTTTCCTTGCTCTCAAGAGGGGACCTGGTGTAGAGCAATCTAATCACTCTGGTGCTAGCACATAACTCAGCTGCTCATTTGCATATCTAAACAGTCATTTAACATAAAGTACAGGGAAGGTCACTTCTTGGCCACTGAGATATCCCAGAAAGTGTCTGGAGTGAGAGCTTTTCTCCCCAAGTTCCAAGGACTCTAAGCATTTCCGATTTTCATTAACTTTATTGATTCTTTTGTCAATAAGGAAAGATGAGAAATTACTTTAACATGGGGTTGAGAGAGAGAGAATTTTAAAGATCAAAAATTATAGAATGAGAATCCTCAAGACTCTTGGGACACCTGTCCCCCCACCCCTTGTCCTCAACAATAATTTGAAAGAAAGAGGAGTCCTGAGCAAATGCCTAAGAACTGGGGCTGGCTGTGGCTGGTGACACAGGATGGTATACACCACACGGATATTGACCCAGCCTCTACCAGAGCCCCAGCCTGAAATTAACCCTCTGACACTCTGAAGTGAAGAATGATACTTTCGTCCTTTCTGTATTGTCAGTGTGGTTAGATGGCAGTGACCAGATAATTCAAAGGGAAGAAAAATCTCCAAATCATGCATGTTTGTCCTCAGAAGGTATTGCTCTTATACTTAGATATGAGCTGTTACAGCCCTGTTGCCTCTCTCCTGACTTCCAGATGCATAAAGCTAACTGCCCACAGGACACCTCACCTGAAACCCTCATCAGCCTCTCAAACCCAGCACATCTAGAGTGGAATGCACTGTTTCCCCACTCCCAGTTCAGCTCCCTGCCCTCCTTTGGAAGCCATACCTTTTGTATGCACTCAGGGTGCATGCCAGAAACCTGGCTGTTCTCCTAGGTCTTCCTCACCACTCCTCACCAATTCCTTCCTTAATCCTGTACCTAGTAGTTCTCAAATCTGTCCATTTCTTGAGGGTGGCATTGTGGCACAGCAGGTTAAACTGCCGCCTGTGACACGGGATATCAGTGGAAGATGGCCCAAGTACTTGGGTGCCTGCCACCTATGTGGGAGACTTTGAGGGAGTTTCAGGCTCCTGGCTTCAGCCTGGTCCAGCCATTTGAATTGGTTGTAGCCATTTGGGGAATGAACCAGCAGATGGAAGCTCTCCCCTGCCCATGTCCTGTAACTCTACCATTCAAATAGTAAGTCTTAAAAAAAAAAATCTGCCTACTTCTTAGGCCTTCTACATGCAGGTTTCCAGGTTCTCACATTCCCAGGATTATTGCACCAACCTCCTAATCAGTGCTTCTGCCCCATCTCACTCCCTCCCATTCACAGCCCATGCTGCTGCCAAAAGCTCACTTCACAACTCAGCCTAAGACTCCACTGACAACTGACGGCCAGCAGGGTGTGGTTTGAGTCCTTGGAAGCCTGTGCACAGACTCTACAAGATCAGTGCATCCCACCTGCCTCCCCAGCCATATCTTCTGTCTGTTAGGAGGCTCTAGGAGCCTGAGTGCTTTCAGTGCCCTCAACACACTGGGCTTGCCCTCTGCCCCTGCCCCAGCCCCTGCTTTTGCCCCTTTGCTCACCCTTCTTTGCCTTGAGCATGTATCCCGCTGTCCTTCACCTGGCTGATTCCCTGGAGTCAAGTGCTCACCTTCCCTGAGAAGCCTTCTCTGCTCTTTGCTACCCCCATGCCATCAAAGGTAGATGAGGTCCATTTCTCTGTGCCCCTTCCATAGCCCATATTGGCCTCTTTTGCATTTTTTAGAGAGATTTATTTATTATTTGAAAGGCCAAATTATAGAGGGAGAAGGAGATCTTCTATCCTCTAGCTCACTACCAAAATGTCTGCAAAAGCCAGGGCTAGACCAGACTAAAGCCAGGAGCCAGGGACTCCATCTGTGTCTCCCACGTGGATATCAGGGACCCAGCTATTTGAGTCATCATCTGCTGCCACCAAGAAACATTAAAAGGAAGCTGAATTAGAAATGCAAATAGGGGCCAGCACTGTGGCATAGTGGGTAAGGCCACTGCCTGCAGTGCGGCATTCCATGTGGGCATGGGTTTGAGTCCCAGATGCTCCACTTCTGATCCAGCTCTCTGGTATGGCCTGGGAAAGCAGTAGAAGATGGCCCAAGGGACCGGTGCCATGGTGTAGTGGGTTAATCCTCTGCCTTCGGCGCCAGCATCCCATATGGGCGACTGTTCTAGTCTCGACTGCTCCTCTTCCAATCCAGCTCTCTGCTATGGCCTAGGAAAGCAGTAGAAGCTGGCCTAAGTGCTTGGGCCCCTGCACCCACGTGGGAGTCCTGGAGGAAGCTCCTAGCTCCTGGCTTTGGATCAGCGCAGCTCCATCTAGGGAGTGAACCAATGGAAGGAAGATCTTTCTCTCTCTCTCTTTCCTTCTCAGTGTCTATAGCTCTACCTGTCAAATAAATAAATAAAATCTTAAAAAAAAAATAAGAAGATGGCCCCTGCATCCACGTGGGAGACCAGAGAAAGCTCCTGGCTTCAGATCAGCTCAGCTCTTGCCATTGTGGCCATTTTGGGGGGGTAAACCAGCAGATGGAAGATCTCTCTCTCTCCCTGTCTCTGCCTCTCTGTAACTTTGCCTTTCAAATTAAAATAAATAAGATCTTTTTTAAAACAAGAAATACAGGGTAGCAGGATTTGAAACAGCATGGGTATATGGGACATAGGTGCCCCAAGTGGTGGCTTAACCCTCTGCATTGTCACACCTGCCCCTGTTTTTCCTTAGCTGTAATTTTAATCATGTTGTATGCCAGGTTGTACTAAAGTTGTATCTGAGTCCATGTTAGCTTCCTATGCTGGCTTTTAAGCCACTTCATCTTGAGAACTACATTTTAGTTGTTTTTGCCTGTTACCTCAGACAGTGTCTGGCACCTAGTAGGTATCCCACAAACGCTGGCTGAATATAAGTGAAAAAGCAAATTCACTCTTAGTGTAAAGAGAAATAGTGGGAAGAGGCTGTGGTTCTGCCTCTAGGAAAGCTGGCATTGTCGTTGCAGCTTCCCCGCCTGCTCCTGTGCTCAGTTCCTGCCTTTCCACCCTGCAGCTGTGTTATGGAAGTGTCAGACCCCAGCAGAGCAGTCCTCTTCTCCAGATGTATCAATTCACACCTTTCCGTTTGACTGCTCTGGGAGGAACACTACAGAACATCCAAGTTAAACCAGCTTTAATGATAAAGAGAGGAGTGGCACACGTGACACAGTGGGTTAAATCTCCACCTGTGGCGCTGGCATCCCATATGGGCACCGGTTCTAGCCCCCACTGCTCTACTTCCAATCAGCTCTCTTCTATGGCCTGGGAAAGCAGTAGAAGATGGCACAGGCGCTTGGGCCCCTGCGCCCATGTGGGAGACCCAGAAGACACTCCTGGCTTCCGATCGGCGCAGCTCTGGCTGTTGTGGCCATTTGGGAGGGAACCAGCAGAAAGAAGGCCTTTCTCTCTGTCTCTCCCTCTCCTTGTATGTGATTCTACCTCTCAAATAAATAAATAGATCTTTTTTTAACTTTTATTTAATGAATATAAATTTCCAAAAATAATAAAGAGAATTTCTTGGCTCAGGTCGTAAGGAAGTATGCAGGGACAAAGTGGAGATCAGATAAGGCTGAGACAGGACTTTGCCTTTTTTCTGCAGTTGCCTTGTCTCTGTTCTTTCTCCTGCCCATTGGTTTCGCCCTTGTGCTTCTAGCAGAATGGCTGCAGCAACTTGAGATCAAGGCCATCCAGGATCAGAGGAAGAGAAGCCATATCTAAAGACTGGAGTTCTGTTTTCCCAGAAGTTTCCAGTGAACTTCTCCTCATATATTATTATATCATACTGAGTCATTTTGTGATTCTGAGAGAATCCCTTTGCTTGGGAAATGTCATGCTATGATTGCATCAGGTCTCCTGAAGAACCAGGGGACAACCCCACCCTCTAACACAAACACACACACACACACACACACATACACACACCCCACCTCCCTCAAAGTCAACTCCCCTAGAAATGTGTGGGTTGCCTGGGGGAGGGGTGGATATTCAAATAAGATCCAAGTTCAGAGATAAGAGATGAAAAATGGCAGAATACCCACTGTACCAGCACAAGGCAGTACTTACTGTACCTTCAAAATCCTCCTCTGGCTCTAGGTGGGTTACAAAAGAAACCTGCGAATTGTGAGGTTATGGAGAAAAGCTGATTCGGTTCAAAACCTTGGTGCAGCGCCATGTGTGACTGGGCAGTATCTAAGCGGGGCAGGGATGTGTAAGGAAGGATGCTTCTGTTCCTAAGAGTGTCTCTCTTCTAAGAGCTCCAATAGCAGTGCATTAGGCCTCTCAGCTTGTCTCCTCAGCTCTTGTCCCTATGGCAAGCATGGAGCCTGTTTGAGGATCTCAAAAGGATTTTACAAATGGGTGACGTAGCTAGGGATATTAGGCAGCTTCCTTCCCCTGTCTCCCTGATTCACTAACTTATTTTCTCTTTTTCTCTTAGGACAGGGCTATTGGTGGGTCCTTAGGCTAAAAGTGAGGACTCTCCTGAGAAACAGATTGTAGCCCACCCAACTCTCAGAACAATGGTGGGTTCTCACCGGGCACCAGCAGGAGGGCTTTCCTTCTCTTCCCCATCTCTGAATATCTTGCCCTTTTAGACTCATGGCCCTCCTGATTGTTCTGTACCTTCTTGTCTCTTCTAGATGTTCGACTGGATAAGCCACAATAAGGAGTTATTTCTGCAGAGCCACACGGAGATCGGTGTCAGCTACCAGCATGCCATAGACCTCCAGACACAGCACAATCACTTTGCCATGAACTCCATGGTGAGTAGAGGGACTTCTCTCAGCCCCACTTCTGGGAGAAGGAGGCTGCTGGAATAGAGGAGGAGAAGCAGAGGCAAACTTGAGTGAGAATGAGAGACTGCACATGCACACCCATGGGCTCTCGTTTGCCAGAGTGGGGACATGTGCAGGGCTCATGGCCAGCTAATTGTTCCTGGAGCAGCAGACTGTGGCTCCATTTCTGCCGCCAGACCCTGCTTTACTTCATCGAAGGAGCATGCTCAGGGTCGCAGGAGGCCTTAGCTTAGCCCCAGACTAGAAGCAGGGCGAGTCACCAGTTCCACTTCGCTGACTTCCACTGACATTGTTTGGTCCCCAGCATGTATGAGTCACTGCACTGTGATGGCGAGGGGCCTCAAGCTATGGCACATTGGAAATGGTTGAGTGAACTGGGGCTGTTTAGACTGGGGAAGAGGAACCCTAAGGGACGCATGACTGCTGCCTTCAAATGTTTGAAGGCCTGCCTTGGAGAGAAGTGAGTAAAATCACTCTGTGTTGGTCTAAGAGGCAGCAATGTGCAGGGGATGACAGTTTGAGGGGAAGGCAGCACATGGCTGGTGGGGGTGGGAGTGGGGTGGTATGCAGTGGGAGTTAATGAGCTCCCCATGATAGTGTTCAAGCAGATGCTGAATTCAAAGAGGGCTATTTTCTAGCTGTTTAGCCAAAGGGAGTTTACATTACTTCTCTGTGCTGCAGCTTCTTCATCATATAACCGAAGTAATAATAGCTACCTTATAAGGTTATTGTGAAAGCTTGATGAGTTATTTGAAAAGCAGTTGGAATTGTGCCAATCATGTGATAAGTCATCACTGAGTGCTGGTACTGTGTTAACAATGAGGATGTAGGCGTCTAGCGCAGATGACACCTGTGATCTCCCATAAACTGAACACTTTGGGTTATTATTTTTCCCATATGTTTGCCCCAGGGCTTTGTTTTGGAATCCTGTTGGCTCCTTAAAGCTATTGTATTCTGAATGTCTGCAGCATAAGGATGCTGCAACAGCTCTCTCTCTCTCTCTCCCTCTGCCAGCCCTTCTTTCTTACTCTATTGGTCTGAAGAGTAACTCCACCATGCGCTATATATCTGAAACCAAAGACATTTTGTCATTGCAGCTGATGATGCTGGGAGTCAGCTAGTGTAAGAAAAGCATAAACCTGGAGGATCACAGGGGCCACGGAAGAGGATTTCATTTTATACCAGATTGTTTAAGATATGTTATGTGCATATTTAAGAGTTAATACCCTGAAAGAGAAATAATTTTGGCCTTGGGTTGTTCTGGTCTAATTGGAGAGATGAAAACCCAGATAATCATGCTGTGGCAGTAGAGATTTATATCTTTATCCTACCACCACTCATCCTCAGTTTGTGAGACCCCTGCTCATCATAGTAACCCAAAGATGGGAGCTGCTGGAGCAGCCACCAACTGAGATACTGCCAATTGCCTTGCCAGACGAGTGGAGTGAAACACACACTGAGAAGCCTTCCACCTAGAAATGACACAGCCACTCATGTTTCATTGGCCATTGCAATCACATCTCTGCGTCTAGCTTCAAGTGGTGAAAGGAGAGAGCAGGATGGTTGTGAGTAGCCCTGGTGACTGTCACAGACAGAAAGGAACACAGTGAGATTAGTGCAGAAAGATCACCCTGGCTTCTGCAGAGTGGAAGATTGGGAGACCAGGCAGGGGAGTCATCAAAACTGATGCTATCACCAGTTTTGGCCCCAATAGTCATGTGTCCTCATTGAAATGTAAAGACTCATTCCCTTCCAACTGGTCTCCTATAGTTATTCTCATCTCTGGCTCACTTTTGTCCTGGAGGAGCAAAGCAGTTGATCACTGGTGATTAAGAAGTTGAACTCACATCTAGTCAAGTTTTATTATCTGTGTGCCTTGTGGCTTTTCCCTGGTGAATGTTAAAATTCTGAGCCAGAATCTTTACATCACCCAACTGCCTGGCCGTAAGGCAGACAACCTCATTTTAATAAGCAACAAAAACAAACATAATTATGGAGATAAGTCTGCCACTAAGCTTCTTGAAACAATGCACTACAAAGCTAAAATGGAAGAGCCTTTGGCTTTGAACTATCTGCCCTACTGCTCTTCTCTATCAGTATGGATAACTGAGAGTTAATGGCACATCAAAAGCCTTCTCTCTGCCACATTTCCTGTTGAAGTCCCCAATTTTGGGACAAAAATAAGGGAGGGAATTTACTGAAGGGGAGTGTCCTCTGGAGCTGAAAAGAAAGAGAGGGAGAGATTTCATATATGACAGCCAGTTAGTGTGTTCTGGCCCGTCCTGCAGCACTCCCTGCGAACGCACCAGCCTCAGAGGCCTCTTTAGCCTGATGAGGTTGGACCTCCTCCCTGACCACAGGGCAAGGAAAGAAAAGCCCAGGGTTGTTTGATCCAGTTGCCTGAGCACTTGTGCATTATAAATTGCTCTGTGCCTTTGTTAACTGGGAGGTTCACAGGTTTGTTATTAAAAGGAACTAGGGATGCCAGCTTCCTGAAAAGGTGAAAGGAGGGAATTGCTGACTACCCCCTCCCCAGCCCACCCCTGCCCCACCTGTGTGATGGATGTCGCTGCCAAGAAACAGATGAATGCTGGCGGCCACTACTCTAGCCCTGTGACTATAGAAATGATCAGTTACTCAGGGGAATCAGGAATGTGGATTGCTCTGTAAATCCATTGCAGCGTCTGTTTCTGTTCTTGGAAATCACACATACATATATTCATACATCCACACATGTGCCCATGTAAATATGCACGTAGCATACCTTATTTCAACCTACAGCTGAGTTCTTTGGCATTGGATCTTTGTTTCTATTAGCTCAGTGATTCCTTATTTTAGGGGGAGGTCACAGACTCCTTTGGAACTTAATGAAGGTTGTGTGTCCCCTCTCCAGAGAAGTGTATACCTGAACAAACTTCTAAAGACAGTTTCAGGAGATTCAAGGAAATCACAAGGCCCATCAGTCAACCTCCCTGGTTTAAGTCCCCGATAACCTCATGACTTCTCTGTTCATTCATTGAACATATACTGAAAGACTTGATGTTATGTCAGATGTTGGGCATATGCTGGTGAATAAAACAGAGGTAGCCATGTCCTCTCCCCCTCTCCCCCTCTCTCCCTCTCTCCCCCTCTCCCCCTCTCCCCCTCTCCCTCTCTCCCTCTCTCCCTCTCTCCCTCTCTCCCCACTTTCGGAGGGGAGACAGATCTGAAATATATAATGTCACAAATATATAATTACAATTCAGTAAGTCTTACATTGAAAGAGTAAAGAATGCTATGAAAGTATAATAAAAGGGGCCAATTTGGATGAGGGAGAGGGATTGGGTATAATTTTCAATCAACAATAGTATAGGGGTATCAATTTGTAAGTCACAAGGATTGACCCATGCCTTACCTGTTAGGTTTTGTTCTACCTGTCTAGTGTTTACACACTGGTTAAAAACCCAGCTTCAAGAAAGATGTCTATTCCTGAGTGCTGAGTTTTCCAGGGCTGCCATAACAGAGTGCCACAGCCTGGGTGCCTTAAGCAATGGAAATTTATTTGCTTACTGTTCTGAAGGCTGGCAGTGTAAGGTCAAGGTGTTGGAGATTTCTCCCAAGGCCTGTTGTCTTGGCTTGCAGATGGCCACCTTCTCCCTGTTCCCTCACATGGCTTTTCTCTGTCTCTCTCTGTCTTAATCACCTTCATTCTAGGAAGATGCCAGTTATATTGGATGAGGGCCACCCCACAGGCTTCTCTTTAACTGAATTACCCCTTCAATGACTATCTCCAAGAGCCATTACATTTTAGGTATAAGGGTTAGAGCTTCAACATAGGAATTGTGGGTTGATGCGATTCAGTCCATAACAGAAAAATAATTACATATCATTAAACCATGGAAGAAAAATTCGAAGTTTCCTCAATCTGATTTGTGAATTGGTACCAGTAAAGCCCACCAATTATAAACAGTGTGTGGGAGTGAGGCCATAAGTGTGGTATACAAGCAGTTCTGAAAAGGAAAAGTTAAAATTGGTTAATCTTTAGCTTTTTGTCATAACATGCTTTTGCAGTTCCCCCTGGGGAATCCTGTTCTTTTGATCTTTAATAATAATAATAAAACCCACCTACTAAACCCAGTAGGGAAATATTCTCTGGCTTCTTACATGCCTCAGATGGCCAGGTTTCTGGAGCTCTCTGGGACCTGCCTCTATATTAATTCTGCCTTCTGTGGTGGACACCCTTTTCATACATTCTCCTTTCCCTGAGTACGACCTTTTCCCCTGATGGGAGTGCAGGCAGCAAGAAGTAGAATCAGGTTGTAACACTTAGGCAGCCACATTCAGACTCTTCATGAGCGACAGAGGTATGCACAAACATTACACAGCCTTATTTACAATTTTAATTAGCTAATTCTTTGGGAAAAATAAATTGCTAATAGCGTCTAGAGTTTTAAAATATGAAACTGTATTCATTTTCTGCTCTTAGAACTGTAAGGATGCACATTAGTGATAACAATGTGCAGCTGGGTGCTGGGAGGCCTCCCTGCTGCAGCTTGCTGGATAGCTGCTTTAATCCTATTATTCGCTCACCAGAGGCGTATATCACCGCTCGATGGTGTGCAAATCAGGCCAGTTGCAGCAGAGCCTGTGGTGTCCTCTCTTTGTTTGAAGTAAGGTTCCAAATGGCAACACCAAGGCAAGGTCAGATTGATGCAAGAGCAATAAAGGTTCTGAGGCAGGTGGTCTCCTACCACCCATCTGAGAATCCTTGCCCTGCGGTCTCGTGTCCCCTTTGGTTCTTGACCAGCCCGAATCATGATTCTGCAGCACCTCCCTGCCTCCAAACAGGCTGCACTTTCTTTAATGACAGGATTTCTAGATTTTGCTATAAACACACACACACACACACACACACACACACTTTCTATTGTAATGTTTCTGGAGCTAGTGTTTGACTATACCATTGGGGCAAGGACCCTTACTTAGTA